AATTAATCAATAATGGTGTAGGAATTTTTTTCTTAAAAAAAGTGGTGAATAATTAATTTGATTTAAAATACGTCTAGAATTTTCAGCACATACATAAATAATAAAATACATTTTATAAAAAACCTCAATGTTTAAACTTTTTAGAGTTATAAGTATGGTTATTATCATTTTCTCTCTGGTTCTCTCTGTTTTCTCTGTTTCGTTAAAAATATGCTTCATTTTTGATTTAGGGGTATTTTTTATAATTTGATATTAACCTGATTCGCTTAGACTTATTTCTTACTATCAGCATACGCGCCCAGCCTTCGTCTGTCTTTTAAATTTACTGGAAAAATGCTTAAAGAGAACACCAAACGTTAAATTTAAAAAATGCGCAGAATTTTACTCTGCAGAACAACTTTATCCAGAGAACAAAAAATAAAAATAAAATTAAAAAAAAAAGTATTACCTATAACAAAGTTACAATAAAATAAGCAATATTTCTTAATAGAAATATTAATTATCCTGATAAATAAATAAACGGACTTCCCGTTGCAAAATCTTAAGAATTCAAATGGTATAAAGGAAGTTCAGAACTTTGTTTCCTAAAAAAACCATGCAAAAATTTTTATATAATTAAAATGATATATAATTAAAACATAATATAAAAATATTACAACGAAATAAGCAATAAATCGCATATTTTCCAGGGAAAAACAGTCAGGAGTCCAGTATCCAAAGCAATGAATGAAAAACGGTTGCCAAAAGCACCTTTCGAAAAGAAAGAAACTATCATCAGAAAAATATAACCAATCAAAATTACGCTTTGTGGACGACATAATTGAAAATACATAAACCTCTTTGCCATTAGCTAATAAAGAGAGAGGGGGGGAAGAAAAAGGAAATTCTTTCTGCTGTGCCTCGCGAGACACATGCGCGTCAGAATAAGAAGATTGCGATGTGCGCATTGCGTGTCCAAAAGTCAAAAATTAAAAAGCAGCATTTTATCTCGTATTGTCAGCAGTCCAGTATACAAAGCATTGAATGAAAAACTGTTGCCAAAACCACTTTTCTAAAAGAATGAAAGTATTCAAAATGATACGATAAAAACCGAAAAGATAAAATAAAAAACAATCTGATTCGAATTTTGAAAAACTCGCTTCGAGGTGCACTGGCTCTTGTCTAGATGCACCTATGTACCAAATTTCATAGCCCTTGGGTCTATTAGCTTACGCGCAAAAAAGCACAAACGAAACGAACACACTGTTTCTTTTATTATATGTAGAGACATTGTTCTTATACCGAAATCTTATAACATTCTTTCCGCATTTCATTCTCTTTCCTTTATACAAATTTACGTAAACACTTAGAAAAAGTACAAAAACAATACATTGTCACGAAATAATTATACGAAGTAAGTTCAATATATTTTGCTATTTTTTTTTTTTTTTTCAATAAAAGAAAAATCGCAAGGAAAACTTTTCTCTTTTGTTATCAGGTAAAAAAAAAAAAAAAAAAGGTATAATGTATCGTGTAGGGTTTGATCACGTGATTTTCGTTACCACAGCAACAGAGAATGTTTCTTGTTTTTTACTGTTGTGTACAAATTCATTTAAAAATTCATATATCAGAAAATGCATTCAAGATGTGTTGACGTTTGTCGGAAAACTATGGTTTTCCATCAAACCTGAATAGTGTCTGGTATCATGCATATATGGTCGATAACTTACAAGGACCCTGAATTTTTTAATGCTGCATATACGAGATGGAACAGTCATCTCTTCTCTATAAATACATTGGCGCCGTTTCCAAAATGTATTTTCTTATTTAGTTATTTCTTATACTTATTTATTAATTTTACCCATGAATGTATTGCAAATGTTTTACATTCATTTTAGGATGTCTTCGTTGCAAAATATTTTGGATTCCTTTTTTCTGTAAAATCCAAATTAAAAATAAATAAAATCTAAATTTCTGTAAATCTAAATCTTTGCCATTTTGTGCGGCAGACCATATTTTTTCCGAATCTTACAATTAGCTAAACTTCTTATCTAAAACTTCTTATATTTTTCCATTTTGATAAAGATATTTTGAGGTGTTTTTTCCTTGCCCCTTTCCAACTGCATTGAAAAATGTCTCCATTGAAATTCGAGGAAATAATTTAAATGAAATGAATAAAAAAGTGAGTAAAATTTAACATTCCATGCAAGAGAGTCCTTTGATGTAGACATCAGATTATCTTCTCTTTCTCAGTCGCGAATAAGGAGAATGTGAAACGAAGACTGAAGTTTTATCTTCGGAAGGCCGTTTAATACGCAGCTCTGTTTCAAAATGAAGGAATCTTAAGCTCTCATGTAAGCCATCAAATTGTAAGTTTGATGCTTAATGGTAATTATTTGACATCAAACTCTAAGTTTACATACATTGGTTTTGATGATAATTATTAGCAATCAAATTGTAAGTTTACAAATTTTTCATATCCCTCTTTATTAATAATAACTGAGATATATTTCCGTAGCACTTACGTAAGGTTATATAGCTCCCCTGAGAGCTCCCTACGTAAGGTTATATAGCTACCCTTTTATCTAAGAACTAAATATGGAGGAACTTAATGAATATCTAAGAAAATAATAGTTTTAGTTCAGGAACAGAGACGTAAACTCAAGAAGGGTTAATTACCCTTTATTTCTCAAAATTAGAATTTACTAATCGAATTAGAATTTACTTACTTTCTTAGAGTATACAGAAAAACCTCCACTTAGGCCTGAATTCAAAAGTACTAAGAGATAAAACTTAAAAGATATAGCCGAAGCTATCAAATTATGAGTAGATAGCCCCAGAATATCGAATAAGCCAGCGAAGATATCAAGGGCCTGTAATACGGCCAAGCGTAGTAAGTAAGGGTTTAGAGCCAAAAGGCAAACGCCCAATAGTCAGAAAATCTAAGGCTCTCTCTCGAACATTGACTTAACTACTACTCTTACTCATTTGCATTAAACACATTTCTGGAAACACATTCTGGTAGGAAATTGTAATCTGAAATAAGGAAGGACAGGAAAGTAGCATTAACTAAAATTAATTGTTAGAAATTTAGGATAAACCTTACACACCTATTGCCAAAATAAAAAAAAAAGCGATTTCTTTGCGACGTAAAATTTAAATTTTGGATCGTCTTTTATTTGGACGAGGCGTTATACCTTTAAGAAACATTTTGCTGTACATGAAGATACCGTAAGAACTAAGAAAAACGAAACTGTAATTAAGAAGTCGGTATGTCCAGAAACAAAATTAAGTGTTAATTCATCATCATATGCAAGAGGGAAAAAATAGGGAACGATTCTGGTAATACGGGTAAAAAATAAATCACAAGAAAGAGTAGCAATGGATAGAAATGCTATCAAGCGGACAGCACTAAGGATTTATAGACAGACTAAAGAAAAAGGAACGAAAACACTCGATTTCAATATATATGCATATAAATGTATATATTTTCTTTTTCTACAATACTTCAGAGTCCTAATGTATATGGAAAGAATACATTTTTAAACAACATTTCATTATGAACGGAATTAAATGCTATACTTTTCAGTGCTCAGAATGGTTTAATTTGAAATATTTTCACAAGTTTTTGTTAACTACATTAGAAAAAAAAAATTAAGGTAATTCAATTTGATTCGGTTAAGGATTACAAAACTTAAGATCAAAGTTTATTGTATTATTAAAATTGTGCATTATTTCTTTTCTATTTATAGAGCTTCTTCCTAAAATACTTTTTCAAATATGACATGATTTTTTACCTTCTGAGGCATCTTTTAAATCTAAAACTATAAGTCAATTTATAATGAATGCTCTATTCGGTCCGTTTCAAATTAGAGTACCTTTTCATTTAATAGCGAAATACGTAAATAGTGCTTAATTTTGTCTGAATATTTCTGAAAGGGAATAAAGTAAGGATTATTTGTTAAAAATTATTTAAAATTTGTAACTGACTTATTATAAAATATAAGGGGAATAATTCTTTTAATTATACTTATTACAATTTTTACCCTTAATTTCAACAATACATATTCCAAAACTCTTCTTTATTACTTTCTTAAATACGCATCTCATAGAAATTGCTTTACAATACCTTTTAACAGATTGCTTTCCAGTACTAGCAATTCTTGTTTAAATAGTTTTAGAACGTATTTGTCAACAGGGTGTCAATTTATGTTTACAATTCAATGTTGAGGTTATTATATATTTAGATAATATTTATAATCATTATAAATTTAGATACATTTAATAATGAGATTTCTTCACAGTAAACTTTCACAGTTATTATGAAGTGAATAAATCCTTCATTTCAAATACATTTATAAATAATTTAATAAATATTTGCGTATTTTGTTAAAGGCAGATACATGCTTTTGGGAAGCACATACATAAATACCCATACATATTTCATATTTTTCATTTCCGGCATGTGGAAATCTTTAATTTCTGTGCATTCACTATATTTTTCGAGTAAAGTAATTTACACTAATTTTAAAAAGTACATGTTACAATAATATGTGGATGTGAAAAAAATTTATTTTATTTAAAACATTTTGGCATCTGGAACATAAAATAAAAGTAGCGAATACTGTATTAATATCGAAAAATGTATACAATTTTAAAGGTACGGTGAGGTATTTTTTATTCTTTAAGCATAACATTTTTGCTAAAACCTATATTTTTATAGTTCAACAGCTTAGAATGTTATAAAACATTAGCAAAATCGCTATTGTTAATTATCGAAAAATAACCAAGATGTGATTTTTGCGTAAATGTCGCTAAACTATACAAATTGCTATTATCCTTCATACTAGGAATGTTTCTTTTATGCGAAATTGTCCCGTTTTTCGATTTGTATGGAACTGTCGAGTGTCGAAATAGTAGCGAGCTTCTGAATGTAAACAAAAAACACCCCATCTGGCGACCGAAGTTTCGCAGCAGTGCTTCACTTCGAATGCCGATTTGGCCACTCCTTCCTTTCTTACCTCCATGGTCTGACCGGCCAAGGTTTCGCTAAAAAGTCCAAATTTCCCAAAACTACTATGAGAAAAAAATATTTTCATGATTTTAATGTAAAAATTATGCTGGCATTTTATACCTGGATTTGTGTACTTTTAATATATTGCCTTAATTCCTTAGACATAATTTAATATGCACGTATATATACGTTCTTACAGATATCATAACAAATATTCTAGGCCGTATATATACGACCTTGCCGGTTAGAGGGTTAAATTAAACTAGACGGCAAATATCAATAGGAACGCATAATACGACCCAGCATAACAGCTTCATGAGTGAACAGAACAGAAGAAAAACACGCGCTACTTTGAACTCCCTGGCACTCTCTATCGAAGTTAGTTAAACCTTCCTTAAATACTTCTAACTCATTTGCATTCAATGGGATTCTAAAAACTCCTTCCGGTAATGAGTTGTAAGTAGAAACAAGAATTGTTAGGAAAAGGTTTCAAAATTAAAATAACTATTATAAAATTAACATATACTTTGCACAGCATTGTTGCAGTATTACAATTTGCTAAAGTGGTGGATGATAACTATTTGATAGCATAACTGAACTTTTTAAATATTTGGAAAAACTCCGCTAAAGAATTTCTAAAGCCAGAATAGCAAACATACTTCCTGTATAGAGGGGTTCAGATGAGTTAGGTCTATCAGTTTATAAAATCTGCTAGTCCTGCCATTGGCAGATTTTAAATGGTCTAGGTTCAATACTGTAAAGCCTACAGTTTTGTTCTTTTTAATATCTATATAAAAACAAATAACCATTTTGGGAATTCCTTGGGTTAAATACGTTTCCAGTAAAGGATCAGATCACATCCAGACAAGGACAAATCATTATATATCTTCAAAATGATCCATTAAAGCACAGAATACGAAGCGAAAATTTTAAAACTTTTATCTCTCTTTCTTCTTTTTATATGCATTTTCAATAGAGAAAAACCATTAAAAACATTTGCTTTAGAAAGCAGAGGTACCATCAATCTATGTTATGAAATTTTCTCCCCATTACCTAATGGTTCTTAACGCAACTTTCTTTTAGCGACCGACTTCCTGCGCAACTATTACTCTGAAATTTTTGGAAATGTGAAGAAAACTTTAGCTAATCTCTTTGAATAGCTTTCAGGAAGAAGCTTAATGAACTATTATCTCACGAATTTCTCTCGTTTCAAATACTTAAGACAGTTTATTTCTTCATTCGTTCAAACTCCAGAATTTCTAATCAGAGCGCTGAAAGTGCAGTAAGTGGTACTTTAGTCGCTTTGGTTACCACTCGTTTAACGCAAAGCTGTTCGGTTCTAATTTAACAGGTTCGGACACCATTTCTAAAAGATATCTGAGAAAGGGTTCCTTTGATTGTGATATGCAGCGCCAAGAAATATTTTCAAAATGCTGACAAAAATTTTGAATTGCGGGTACAGAAATTTTAAATCCAGTCTTGAAATTGGCCACTGCAAAAGCTAGACTGGTGTAATCAAATCTTTAGATCAAATCTTTAGATACCATTTTTAAATAGGATTTACAGCTGAATAAGAGAGCATGAAACTAAAATAAATAAATGAAATTATCTGAAAATTTCCAGATATCATATTACGCCCAAAGGGGCTTTTCTTTAACGTGTGTTGCTTTATTAAATATCATGTTCTTCGCACTTAAACCATAAAATTCAACAGCAATATCTCAAAATAATTTAAAGTGAGATTATCTTTAGAATTTCCGACGCACAGTCTCGGGCGCTAGAGATAAAAATGTTTATTTTTTCTGTACAGTGATGCCATTCCTCGCTTTGAGTTTGTTAATCAAAAATTCTTTAATGTTTTACAAAATATCAAATAGATAATAAGGAGAACCGGGTATCAAATGCCCATATTCGGGTGGAAGATTGCGTCATTCAAAATTGGATGGCTCTGGGTACCGTTGTTTTATCACAATGCGAGAAACATACCTTTAGGCAGATTCTTCATTATTTCACTTCTTCAAATATAACACAGGGCTCCAATATTTCGTGGCAACAATTTGAAAAATGATACAGTCTTTGAAACGTGATACAACCTTTTAGGCAAATTCGTAGCCCTTATGGGCTACGAATGATATGCTGCTGATTATGCTACAGAAATTACTGCAGATTAAAGAAACCAAATAACATTTAATCCAAAAATATATGGGGGGACGTGATAACTACTTCACATTTTCCCCTATTTAAATGAAGACTAGAAACAGGAACAGACAAAATCGGCCAAATCCTAGTGAAGCGAATTATCATCCACGACATCATTCTAGTTTAGATGGCATAGTAGGGATCTGATGTGAGTTTTGATAATAGTATAGAGACATTAGGTTGTTTCGAAGCAGGAGATATGAAAAATGTGCAGTGCCCTCGCTGGGACTCTAACCTTGGACCTTTCGAATACGCGCCGAGTGTGCTGACCACTACACCACGAAAGCATGCTAAGAAGGCAGGAGAAATACCTTATATAATACCCCCTTTTAAAGGCGGCTGGGGGGTTAGGGGACCCAATCGCCGAATCCTGGTGGTGCAGAATCCTCATTCACCAATTTTTTTTTAGCTTGGGCGCCACTGGAGATACATTAGGATTTTTGAAGCAGGAGACATGAAAAATGTGCATTGCCCTCGCTAGGACTTGAACCAAGGACATCTCGAATACGCGCCGAGTGTGCTGACCCCTACACCACGAAGGCATGCGAAGAAAGCGGGAGAAATATTTTATAATAGTAGACATGAAAATATGTCGCCTTAGCTGGGATTTGAACCATGATTCGTCCAACTGCTAGTTACACTTGCTAACCTAACCAGTTACTCTACGACAGCTTGCTTAAAAGAATGCATTCATTTCTCATAGCATCAGTTTTTAATTCCTCTTGGTTTGAGATTTAGTTGATTACGGAAAAGTACACTAGGGCTGTTGATTATGGAAAGGGGAAGAATGCCTTTGTGGAAAGCTTTCCATGGGAAACTGGCTCATATACACGTTACACATGCGGAAAGCCATTAAAACGCCCATGCAGCTATCCCGCTTGCCTGGAATCGAACCCAGGGCAAAGCTACCAATGACCAGGGATTTTACCGCTTGGCAGCTGGTGGGCGATTTCTTTAGGATTTCAAATTTTTTTAGCCCAGAAGGGCTATTAATTTCTGATTCACTATAAATGTCGGTTCAATTTTCAAATTGTTGGCACCAAATATTATTACCCTGTGCTATATTTAAATTAATTAATAGTGAAGAATCTGCATAAATGTATGTTTTTTCTCGCATTGTGATAACACAACGATAACTAGAGCCATCCAATTTTAAATAACTTAATCTTCCACCGACTATGATCATCTGGAAGCCGTAATTTGGAATTTGTTTTATCTATTTCATATTTTGTAACATTTTTCAATAATCAACCACCAATTTTCAATAACGTAACGTTTCCACCCGAATATGGGCATCTGAAAGCCCAAACGTGAAATATGGAATTTATTTTATTATCGATCTCATATTTTGTGAAACTTTAACGAATTTTTGATTATCAAACTCAACGATTTCAAACGGAACTTTATGGTTTAAGTGCATAGAATATGATATTTAATAAATAAAAATAAAGCACAGAACGTTAAAAAAAACGCCTCTTTGGGCGTAATATACAGTGTTGGCCAAAATTGTGGACACTTTTGGAAATTTTTATGTTTTTGAACTTTGTATGCTTATAGGAAACGTTACGTTTCACAAAATGCAAACTTGTATATATCATTGTAAAGAGAATTTACTACTGAATTCAATACAAAACACAAAATTCAATTATTTGCAATACAAAAAAAGTTAAACGATAATAGTTATCGATATACATTAGATAGTGATGATTGCAGTGAGTTATCACTACTTAGTAGGGCACCCTTTATTTTTGATTACAGCTTCACATCGACGTTTCATTGAGCTGACAAGAGTTTTAAGCTCTTCTTTCGTTATTACATGATGCCAGGAAACAATTCTAGCCTCAATTAGTTCCCTTTTATTTGATGGGCGCCTCATTCGAACAAGCGTTTTCAAACGGTGCCACAAATTTTCGATAGGATTGAGGTCAGGACTGTTTCCTGACCATGGCAACAATTTAATGCTCTTTGTACGAAACCACTCTTTCGATATTTTGGCCGTGTGGCAAGGAGCAGAATCCTGCTGAAAAATAAACGAAGCATTGTTGGGAAAGAGATCTCTGATGGAAGGTAGAAATTCTAGAATAGTGTGTCAATGTATTTTCTGGCATTCAGTGTCCCATCGATGACATGAGGACGGCCAATACCATCTGCTGACATGCATGACCAAATCATAACACTAACTGGGTTCTTCACAGTTGCTTGAATGCAGTCAGGATGTAGCTCTTCTCCTATTCTACGTCTTACATATTTTCGCCCATCACTACCGAATAACGATATCTTAGTTTCATCACTCCATATAACTTGTGACCACTGATCATCTGTCCAATTAATGTGTTCCTTTGCCCACTGTAGTCTTTTTTTTCGTTGCTGAATATTAAGATAAGGCTTTTTTCGTGAAATTCTACCTCTCAGTCCAACATCTGTTAATCTTCTCCTGATTGTTCTTGAACTGACAGAAACACCAACATCACTTCTGTGATCACTTCTGATGGTCGCTGATGACATTTTCTATCTTGGAGATAGTCTTTTTATTGTTCTGTCATCAATAGATGTGGTGCACCTTTTTCGGCCTTTTCCTTCTTTGTTTTTTATTGAATTTGTCTCCTGATATCGTAAACAAAACTTTCGGACACCAGATGTAGTCACTGAACCACCCACCTGTCTTCCAATTTCAGCATAGGAAAGACCACTTTCTCGTAACACAATAATATTACATCTCTTTCTAGGTGTCCAATCTACTCTTTTATTTGATGTCATTGCTTCTTGACTAAATATTAAAATTTTTTACAAAAAATTTCTACTTGTAATTGCAGT